GCAGTCTCAACATACGTCGCAGAACTTCAACCTGGGCCTGTTTATGCAACAGTTTACAGATCAGATGATGTTGATAATGGAATGTCGCTTCACGCAGGAGGAAGCTGCTACGAAGACCACTACGACGAGTACAAGCCTGCGTGAAGATTCAGCAGCCTCTCCAACACACCTGGATGAAGAGGAAAGCCTGTGCAAAGGCCACACACCTGACAATCTTCAACGACTGAAGCTAGAAGTCTGGACAATGCTACCAACGTCAGCTCAGCCTTAGATGTCCCCGAAGGAGCCTCTAATATTCTCCACACAGAAGCAGATTGAAGCATTCTCCAGAACCCTACAGACACCGCAGATATGGATCGTCAGCACCGTCGGACTTAGACTCACATCGGGAACCTGCGCGCAGGCACTCCACATCTCACAGAGGGGAGATTACGTCAATCAGCCTTCGTGAAGGCCTAGAGAAATATCTAAAGACTCCAGGAGGAATACACGGTCACACCGTGACTGTTCACCTGCACGCAGCTCTACATACAGATCTACATACAGAGACTCACGTCATTATGGATCTTCAGATAGGGAAATGTCCAACTTCACCGTCTGAAGTTAGAAGTCTGGAGAACTCTACTAACGTCAGCTCAGCATAGCAGACCCCTCCGATGACAGTCGCCCTGCGCGAAGGAATATTAGCTATACAAGCTCTCTCGATGAAGGCCTGCACGAACGGTTACGTTCGCGAAGATCTTTACTGTCAGAAGTATCAGCAGTTAGAAGCCTGGAGGATTCAACGAACGCCAGCTTAGCGTTAGCAGTCCACGATGGAGCCTCCACGCAGTTTCAGCGTCTCAGCAGGAAGGATTCTAACACAGAAGTAGATCCAGTCGTTCTCCAGGATTCTACAGACTGCGCAGATATGGATCTTCCAACTTGGACCTTCATCAACCTGCGCACAGGCACTCACGGGGAGGATTATAATCAGAGTCAGCATGTCCCGCCGTTCAACGATAGCAGATTTCCCCTTCATCATACGGAGCCCTTCATGATACATCAGGGTTTGAGATTACAAGATCATCAGTGAATCCCGTAATAGATCTTCAAGATGGAAGATAAGAAGATAACGCAACTGGACACTACAACTAGATGTTGGCTATGTTGGATCAACGCGTGGCTGAAGGAAGAGACTCACACCTAAACTAATGATGTCAGATAACATCCGATGAAACACTGAAGATTTATTTTCATCACATGGGCTTACAAGATATCAAGGGGACAGTTAACAGCATTGTCGCAGTTCCTCAGCGAGACATCGGTTACGGTCAACTTTACAGAACATCTGTATAAGATGACGACTGCAGTAAAGATTATAAAGTTGAAGAATACAGTCACAACAGACAGGGAACAGTCTGCTTTCATCAGCACTACGTGGCGAAGTTTTCGCCCACTTCCACTCAGCCATCAAGACACGTGTTCACTCGTGTAACTCTGGCACAAGCCGAACAGAGAGGTTACGGACAAGGCCGTGTTGACGAAGAAATCAACAACTGCACAAGATTCTATGAGGATCATATACCTGCAACACCGGTGATGTCACAGTCACGTGCCAGGAAGTCTTCTACAGTTGTAAACAACTCTTTCAACGTGGGAAAGGCTCCATTTACACTCCAGTTAGCAGGGTACAGCGTGGTTTGACTATCTTCACGGGTCATAGAGGACTTCTCCTGTCAGCAGATTTGATATTGGTTATTTGGGGACTTGCAACGGCAAGCGTGAGACGGTTTCTGCTCGCGGTTAGCCAGTCGACTATAAATAGACTTCACATCAATGGCAGTCCCAGTACATCATAGATTTTTGCTGATCTAGTGACGACGTATTATGCATCATCGCTGCACATTGTTCGGATTCTGGTGACAACATCTTTATTACATATTACCGGGAAGATTGATGAGACAAGCTTCAAGCCAGGATTCCAGAATCGATCATCTCTCCGCTTCCATGACGGGACATGGCAAGGGTATGAATACCTGTGTCATCTGCAACAGACGAGACACTTAAAAGGTTCAACACTCTCAACATACCTGACTGCGCTCAGCACAGTAATCACCATGAAGACGGGTGTCAAGCTGACCAAAGTACCAGAGATACTGGCACTACTACGCTCGTTCAAGTTGGAAGACCAACAAAAGTATTTCAAGGCTCCTGCCTGGGATCTCAAAAAATTTCGACGACATCTCACCAGTGATGCCTACGAACCTCTAAAATGGACATCCTTTGAACTACTGACTCAGAAAATGCTGTTCCTGATCGCCCTAGCAACAGCAGCTCGGATGTCAGAAATACATGCTCTGGACTTCGAACGAACACGATTTGAATCGTGACATCGTACATCTAGGACTGAGATGGGATTTTATTGCCAAGAAACAACTGCCCGGCCAGCCTGAGAGACAGTTCCACATCCTAGCACTCTCTACAGTCCTTGGACCACAGAATACACAGGATCTATCCTTATGCCCTGTCAGAGCACTAAAAGTCTACCTACAAAGGACAAATACAAGGAGACGAAAATTCAAGCGCCTATTCATCCCCTTATCTACTATGGCGCCCACGGACTGTCACGGACAACGATATCGATATGGATGAGAGCCGTTATACTAAGGTCCTACAAAGCAGCGGGACTTGAGCCTCCACGAGCCTCCAATGCCCACGAAGTCAGCGCCTTGGCGTATACACTTGCTCTGCATGGAAACTGTTCGATTACAACAATAATGGAGGGCTGCTTTTGGAAATCGGACACAGTGTTTGCTAACTACTACCTCAGAGACATTGCCACCGAAGACGTCTCAGGCATTCACCAGTTTGGGCCACTTGTTGTAGCACAACAACTAACGGTTCCACAAAGGCGCTGAGAAAAATATCACCCTTTTTATCACGTGACTTATGAAAACCAACGCTCTGGAGGGCAAATGGGATCATACTTTTAGGGATCATTTCTATAGTATGCATCGCCATGACTTCAGGTAAAACTGACAGTCTACCAAACCACGAGGTCCATGCACACGTCTAGGACAGGCTAGCATGAGTGATAGACCCTGTACTTGTATAGGACATACTCGTACATGAAGAAGGGTCGCATCTCCACTTGATGCGCGCATCAAGAGATGGAGTTGCAATAGATAACTAATGGAATATTAGTATATCTAAAATCCACAAAAAATGTCAGAAGTTTCGGAAGAAATCTGACAAGTTGTGGTTGCCCCCAGACTCATCACAGGAAGTCGAAAGAACAGAATCATCAGCAGTGCCGTCATAAGTTCCCATGGGGGGTAATACAGGACGTAAATCTACAGCCAGAGAATCCAGAAGTGGCCTGACCCACCACCGATTCAGACGGATTCTGCAAGCATTTAGCATGAGTCAGGATAAGGAAAAATATGTAATTTTCTGACTAAAATTGATATTTTATACTTGTCCTGACTCATGAGGTCAGCCCTCCAAACCTCCCCTCTTATGGCACTCTGGATTTCCCTGTAAATCCGGGTGTCGGGCATTCAAACGGAGAGAGTGACAAGGCATGGTCGGTCAGGTGACGAAAAGAGCCCCAAAGGAGCAAGGGAGGCAACTCCTGGGTGAGTAGTGATTTTACGTCCGCTTTTTGGAAGGGAACTTCAAGGGATTTCAAGTGTTCCACTATCATTCACAAGGACAAACATTTAGCATTAGTCAGGATAAGTATAAAATTTAAATTTTAGTCAGAAAAGTACATTTTTCTTCAGCACCTTACAATAATATTATTTGAGTTTGTGACTGCAATTATGTTCACGAAATCGATCTTTTTTGAAGTTTGAAATTGCATTAGTTTGTTTGTTTTTTCAAGTTTTTAACTGCAGATTTTTTTGCGGAATTTTGAAAAATGGGATTCAGAATTTACTTATATTTGCCCTGGAATTCTTAAAAATTTGTCGCGGAATCCAGAAGGGACTGAACTATATATGTGAGGCAGTGTGAACAGTTCACACATAGTCCGACAAGCACTATGGAGGGAAGTCAGAGAAGTCCGACTGACACTTGACCAGCAGAACGCCTGGATAGGCTGGTCAGTGTTCGTCCCTCTGTGTCCGTGGCTTGCCTCCTGCTGGTCTGTCCGCGCTCTTCACGCTGTCTTTTTTGCGGTCTTCCCCTATCCTACCTGCTCGGCGGATGCATGACAAACTGTCTGTGTAATTTTACTTCCGTCAAATATTGCCACCGTATTGTAATACTGTCATTGTAATTATTTTGCAGTAAATTGTATTGATATGTAAACGGTCATAAGTTTATCATACATTTGTTCCCTGTAATATGTGTCTTGTTGCTTTCACACTGAATCCTCCTGTGTTTGGATTTCTGGGTTAACTGATTGCTTAACTTTGGAGGTCAATGTACAACACTGATCACATAGTAAACATGACTATATGTGATAGAGCTTTTGGTTGATCTTGTAGATTTGTGCTAATCAGCTGAAGCATGTTCTTCAGAAGTTGAGAGCAAGTCTGTACTCAACAAAGAGATATATTCAAGAAGCACTATCTGCTGACTCGCACAGTGTTGGTGTCTGTTGGGATGGCACCCCGAAGCAGCAATTCAAACATTAGCACCGTTAAGGATGAGACCATTACGTATTAGTTGATGATGATTTCGAGATTTTACTTGCACTTTCCAACATCTGTTTCACACACAGGCCCGCCAGGCCATTTACCATGTTTAGTGTTAGATCGAAAGAGGGGTGAACATCACTGAAAGAGAGACCAACCTGAAGGGGTGGGTTACATATTGAATTTTTATGTGAATTTTGAATTTGGGAAATTTACCAGAAAATATGTTGGGGGTAGAAGTATAGGGTAGTTTGGTAGGGTTTAATCTTTTTTAGATAATGTCACTACTTTACTGTAGTTGTGCTCTACTTTCCAATGTTAAATGTCCAAATAATAGTCAGATATCAGTGTTTATGATGTGTGTTATGTTCGCAGGTTTCGCAGGTGTGACATTTTACTGTGTTGCGATAAAATAAAGAGCACTTGGTGTACGGTTGAGGATGCTGCCAACTTTGGTAGCAACGGTGGTGACCGTGGCATTTGCCATCTACTTAATTCGCCGCAAATTGCAGCAGGGTGGAGCGATCGAACATGGGTTTGCTGAGGCAAGGGGGGAAAGGCGGCCACAGCCTGACTCAGGATGTCACTCAGGTGAGAGCTTGTCAAGGTGATTGTAATACTGTACCAGTGATGTAACATTATTGGTGATTGTGACGTCGACACTGAGAGTGATTGTGATGGAGCATGAACGTGGTGGAGAGTTATTGTGACACTGAGAGTGATTGTGACACTGTGATTGATTGTTACACTGAGAGTGATTGTGATGGAGAATGATGGTGACACTGTCAGTGATTGTGATGGAGTTATTGTGACACTGTCAGTGATTGTGGTGGAGAGTTATTGTGACACTGTCAGTGATTGTGACACTGAGAGTAATTATAATAGAGAGTGATGGAGAGTGATTGTGACAATGTCAGTGATTGTGACACTGTGATTGATTGTTACACTGAGAGTGATTGTGACACTGTGATTGATTGTTAGAGGGATTGTTGTGTGGAGAGATTGTTGTGGTTAGAGGGATTGTTGTATGGAGAGATTTTGTGGTTAGAGGGATTGCCCGATCCCCGTGAACTGCTCAATGGGTTACAGGCTCCATGCCCTTGAACAAATGGAGTAGTCCAGTGGTTTACTGGCCATAATATTCTCCTTCTCTTCAGGTAACAACCAGACTGGCCGAGCTCGTATGACGTGTCGTCGCCGTCGCCACCCTGATGACACGGATTGTGAAAGTCAATATGCAAACATGCCTGACGCCCAGCGTGGAAGGGGCCCAGACATCAGCAATAAGTGCACTGTTTGTTTCGAAAATGAGGGCAATGTAAAGTTATCTCCCTGCTCACACACCAATGTGTGTATAATCTGTGTGCGCTATATCATCACTAACTTGGACTGGAGGTGCCCATTCTGCGGCAGCTACATACAGTCATATGCCATGGTTGGCAGCAGCGGAGCACCTAGATCGACATGAAGCATTGTCAGCTGATTATGTGCAGACTCTATTCCCTACCTGACAAATTTTACCATTTTGTTTGGGTTTTTTTTATATTTTTTTATTTTTGATTCTCCATACATCCAGGTCATACAGTTCATTACATAACGGGTTGGTATAATCACGATTCGCAAATATATACAAAGTCGATTTACAGGCAAAATGAATAGGTACTTGAAAATATAATAGCAGTACATGATATATAGCGCTAGGTTAACAGAACAGGTTGTGACATAGTGACCAAAATTTTGTGAAGCTGTCATATTTGCAATTTGAATAGGCATTAAAACGTTCAGCATAATATGTTGTCTTTACGTCTTCTATAATGTAGTTCAAATTTGGTGTTTTATCTCTTTGTTTCATTTTGTATATATTATATTTCACTGCTGTTATTATCAAATTCAGAGCATGGTTTCTCTTTTCACAATATCCTAGAATAATATATTTCTTTGAAAAGATAATATTTGACCCTGTTTTTTGGAATATCCATTCTTCTATTTTCTTCCAAATACCTTTCATGACTTTACAGTCACAAAATAGATGTAGAATTGATTCTTTCTCGTATTTGCAAAATGTGCATGTGTTAGAATCTTTATATTTCATTTTTGTTAGCAAATCATTTGTTGGCAGAAACCCATGCAGTATGCTGTATTGAAACCACGAGTGTTTTACACTATTATACGATTTAAAGGTTGTTTTTTCTATCGTTTCACATATATTATCGTCAATAGACTCACTAAGTTCTTTTTACCACTTGTTTCGATATGTTAAAGGTTTTCTAGATTTACCATTTATGAGTATGTCATAAATATCTCTACATCCTTTTGGGTTTCCTACTATATTTCGTAAAAGACATGGCAAGATCGGGGCTTGGATGTTTTCTTCAATATGGATGTTTATGGATTTGCAGTAGTATTTAATTGATTCCACTATTCCTTGACGCTCTAGGAAGTTAGTTTTGCACCCAAACGATTTTCTTAATTGTTCCACCGTTAAAAAGTTACCTTGGGCGTCAAACATGTCGTTTATATAAGTAATCCCTTTGCTTGAATAATGTTTATAATTGATTGGTTTTCCATCTATTTTAATATTGTCATTTAACCATTTTTTGCTTTTTCTGCTTTTCTGGTTACGAATTTACCCCATGATTTCAAAGTGTCTTTCCAAAAATGATTTATTTCTTGCGTTATTACTGATTCAAGTATGTGTGTTTCGCATGTTTGTATAAAGCTGTCGATGTCCCAATGTGTCTTCGTTTGTAACAATTTCCTTACTTTGGAATCTGAGTAAGTGAGTCTTTTAATCCATGATATTTTTTGTCATTGAAGAAGATTTTTTATCTCTGGAGCTCGTATTCCTCCGTATTCATAGTTCTTTGTGATAGTTTTTCGACTGCCTTTGTCTGGTTTCTGCTCACTTTCCTTAATCATTTGATCGTTTGGGTTCGGTAGACTTACAAATAAATGATTAAGTTGCGGTAAAAGTAAACTTTTTAATATGGTATTTCTACCTAAGGGAGTTAGATCTCTTGCTAGCCCTTGATTCATTGATATTTTGAGAGTCTTAAGTTTATCTTTATAGTTGCCTTCAACCATTTCTGCGATGTTGTGAGTAAATACAATTCCTAATAGTGTAAACGAGTCACTCTTCCAGTCTAAATTCGAGTTTCTGCAAATTTTCTTTTAGAGTTTTTTTCTGAGCCTATCCATAATACCTGTGTTTGTTTACATTTATTTTTAAGCCTGAAAATGAGGCATATTTACTAAGAATTTCTAATGTCGCCTGTAAACATTTTTCAGTGCCATCTAGTATCAGCGAAGTATCATCAGCGTATTGGGAAATTAGATATTCTGTATCTCCAATTTGTATTCCTTTTATTTCATTATTATTTCTAATCATTGTTGCCAAAATTTCTGCACACAGTATAAAAATATAAGGGGAGATGGGATCTCCTTGTCTGCATCCTCTCGAGATATGGAAATAATTTGAAAGGAAACCATTTACAACAACACATGATTGAATGTTATTAAAGAAAATAGAAGAACTTTTTGAATGAAATGCCAGTCAACAGAATCGAATGCCTTTTCAAAGTCAATAAGAAGTAGAATTCCTGGTATATTCATGTATTCAGTATAGTCAATGATGTTTTACATTAGGCGAGTACACTCACCAATATATTTTTTTTACAGAAACCCTTTTTGATCCTCATTTATTATAGAGGGTAGAACTGTTTTTATTCTGTTTGCAATGGTTGATGATCCGATTTTATACGCTACATTCAGCAATGAAATGGGTCTCCAATTCTGAAGCAAATGTTTGGATTTACCTTTTTGGGGAAAACAGGTTATAATGCCTTGCTTTTGAGTCAAAGACAATTCTCCTTTCTCGTAAGCTAAATTTAATGATCTTATAAGATACTCGTGAATATTGGACCAAAATGTTTTGAAGAATTCAACAGTGAAACCCGATGAGCCAGGACTTCTTTCATTTTTTCATTTTTTTAAGACTGTTAAATACTTCTTCATATCTCAATTGTCCTTCTAGACTTTCTTGATGATGTTTTGATAGCTTTAGGACGTCTATGTTTTTAAGCAATTCTGTTAGGTTCACTTTTTCACATGTTTTTTTCGTGTATAGGTTATGGTAAAACGATTTAGTTTCAGTTATAAGATCTTCTTTTTTGGTTAGGGTTTCCGTTTGATTGTTTTCAAGTTTATATATTGCTTAATTTAAAAAGTTTCGATTTTCTAGGGACAGAAAATATTTTGTCGGGTTTTCTCCTTCTTTCCATTTAGCTTTAGATCGTAGTAGTATCCCTTCTGTTTCTTTTCTATTAATAGTCTCTAATTCTCTATTCGCTTCTTTTAATTTTGTTTGTTGATCAAGTGATACAAGTAAATACAAAATTGTTGGTATTTAGAGATTGAGTAGGGTCAAACTGTCTGTGGAACATCAATCAGTGCCTCATCCTGAGAAAAATGTCCTGCAAAGTGATTAAAGGATTTTTAAAAACGTCACTTCACATTGTCTAGTTTCGCTCTTAGTGAACCCCTGGGTATATATAATATCCACAAAATACAGTTAAAAACGGTAATTTTTCATTATACAGCTTGTATTAGGAATCTAAAACGCACCTCCCTCGAAAGCATTTTGCGATTACGCAAGATAATGAGGTAGATGGTCACGTGGTTGCGTGACGTCAGAACCGAGAGTCGCTACATCAACACACGGAAAATACAGTGGTACCGAGCCTGTTCGCTTAAACTGAGGTCTGCTTTTAGTTTAGCAAATAAATCAATCCACGAAGTCAAACCTGGATTTGGATGACATACTAGATACAGATAATACCACATACATGCAACCTTTTCAATTTGAAAGTATTTCTAGCGGCAAGACCGAGAGGAATATTGAGGACGATTACACCAGATGACAACATACAGCCGTGGGACGATCCCGATCCCGACTATGACTATGTTTTGTTTAGACCTACTGCAGACTGGTATGAAAGTTACTTGCCTATCACATGTTAATGGAAAACTGATTAGAAACTGAATTAATTTTTCCGCGGTCACGGTAAATTTTGCAGTCATGATAACGGCAATGTACGTTCGATCAATTTGTTGAGCCTGTCTTCCGGTATACATCGGTATGGGAAGGTAAACACTGAAATAGTTACGTTCGAGGTTCATGATTTTATGATGGTTATTAAGTAACTTTCAGCTTTATTTCATAGAATGCCTCTTCTGCTAAATTTATCCGTAAAGGTTAAGTATGGTGATAATCTTTTCTATGAAATACGTACCGTTACGGAAGCCGATAAGTTCGATCTCACTACTGTTCCATACAATTTCAGATGCTTTTGCATATAGTGCCTGATCCAATGTCACAACAATGTTTTCAAGTCGCAACGTGTTCATAATGGTCAAAGACTGCTGTAAGATTTCATGAACTGTAGACATGCTGGTTGCAGGAGCATTGATTGTTGGAAGATATCCAATGGTGTCCAGTCTTACATCTTCTGCATCACGTGTTTGGATATTAAAACCTGTCCAGGAACCTATTTCTTGTTGCTGAGCACTATGCAATCTTGCAATGATCCATGTAAGGTTTTTCTTCATTGACTCACTGACAGCAGAAACTGTGTACGACTTTACAAGTGGAACAGAAGGTGGGCCGACACGCTTGCCACTGTTATATTGCTGTAGAACTGGGAGAAGTGTACGGCGTCTTGTCTTCTGAACCACTGGGGTTGTACTGCCGTGTGAATGTGGGCCATGAATTGACGGTTGGATTGCAATGCCATTAACTCTATGGGAAGTTCCACCTCCAGTGAGCGTTTCCTCAAGTCTCTAAATATTGTCCCAGGCAAGAGTTGTTGCAACATGTGGGTGGATATCCTGTGGCAAAGGAACAGCACCCTCCTGAGTCAAAGCTAGCTTTTGGAGACAAATGGCAGTTTCAATTTCTTCATACTTTGGATGGGAAACTCAATGACCTAATCGGTTCAAAATTTGAATCATCTCAACATTCCCAGTTAGGGTTTTCACAGCAAATGGGAGCAGGATATGCTTAGGTGTCAGCTTTTTTCCCCCTGTAACAGCATAAACAAGATCTTGACCAAACGATTCAGTTAAAATCTTCGTCTTTTGGTGTGTGACATCAGCTTTCAAATCACCTGTCAGAATAGTTGCAAAAAATTCCTTGACACATGTAGGAATGTACCTAGAAGGATTGTCCAAATCACACTGTTTTGGGGGCCATGGT